CTCCAATGTTATCCGCATCAGGAAATTGCGTTTTACTTGTATTTGAGAGCGCAATTAAAGGACTTGGCAAAGTGCCAAGGAGCCGCACGCGACACGCGCGCTTGCAACGGATGTTATGAAGGACGGGAATCTGCGCCGCAAAAAGGTGTAAGGCGGAGCATGGAGGAATTAGCGTGTTTCACGGTCCTGTATCTCCATTCCTGGGCATGTTTGGGCGGGGGGACCACGACACATCGACAGCTGGGGGGCTGATAGTCTCATACACCCTCAATGTGTGTGAGCGTACTATGTGTCTTTAAGTATTTGGCAGTGAAGTTGGCTTTTGATGACATGATGTTCCCGTTTTCACCGTATAGGTGCACCGCACTGCTCGATTGCTTTTGACAGGGATACGCTCTGTTGTGCTTTGACTGAGGCTGTCGACACTTCCAGAGGAGATAGTAGATCCCACGCAAAAATGTTGAAAAATCGAAGTCATTGAATATTTTCGCAGTGAGAGATGCAATGACAGAGAACAGACTAGTGGTATCGCGTGGTCGTATGAAGTATCTTGGTGAGCGGAGAAAACAGAAGAAACAGGCAATCGCAATCATTTCGTACATTTTGAATGATGATACTGATAGAATTTTGTGAACAGTTCCACACTGTGCACAAAAACGATTCACATCTCAGGTTATCGCACAATGTGTCCACATCCATAGCGTACAATTTGCTGCGTTCATACTTTGCGTCTTCGCGTTGAACGCACGGCAGCATCATAAGCGTTTCGAGCTACTAGTATCAGCTTACGCCAGTTTCTTAAGCGCTTCGCGGGTAGTTAGAAACAACTCGGGAGCTCTCTTGAAAGCTGGCGTACGCTCAAAATTGAACCATATCTATACGTTCCGTACAGGAAAGATCTGATTTTTTGGGAGATTCTGTTTTGAGCAAAGAGGGTAGAATAGGAACCGATCGGTGCATAAAATGCCGATTCTCTCAAGACGCCATAAATACCTATACTTCCTTATCGCACATTCTCCCAGGACATCTCCTATAACGTCAACTTCCCTAAGCCTAAACGCAGCTTTGACAAATGATCCGGTACCCACCTGTGTTAGCTCATCGTTCCCTGTGCTCATGTTACCAAGAACACGAAGTGCCGGAGCCACCATAGCATCGGAATCGCTAAGGAATTTGATCACATGAGGAAGAACACCTGAAAGCAGAATCATCGGGCAGATGGAATAATGGATAGAACCCGTCTGAAGCCGAATTGGTTTGCTGTTCGTATCACTAGGACTACGTATCACTAGTGCGCTGTCGATTGCCCTCTGAAAACAGAGTCGTGCATAAACGGCTTTGTCTGTCTGGGTGTCTGTTGGGAAATTCGACATGACTTGAAGAGCCAGATTGAGGAGCCAACGGATCAACGGTGGGATGAGCAGGAGGTGGACCAAGATGAGCGCATATGACTGAGCTAAACTCTGCCAGCTGCGGGCGGGGCGTGATAGCCGCCGCAGTAGCTGAGAGCCACTTATTCCAAAAACGTAATTTGATTCCGGAAGAACCCAAAGAGCCCAAAAAGAGGGAAACGATTGGAACTGGGTCGGTGGGCGAGAAATGGGAGGTGCGGTGGATGGGGCTCAAACCTTAGTGCGTCTGCAGCTCTGATAAGCCCAAAGGAGCCAAACAGCAGCATACAACGACTTCAATTTGAAACACCGAAGCGTTCTCAACAATAGATCTGTCTGGGGGGGGGGGGGCTCTAGAAACTGAGGGGAGGAAGGCGGATCAGCCGGTGAAGCAGAATTGCTGTCTGAATCACCTCTAGCGATAATCGCGATAAAGAATGCACAATACGCCTATAGATATACATCGTAGCACTTTACGTGGACAACAACAGCTTTGTAAATAATAAGACATGATTCCAAATTAACGTTCTTCCACTAACCACTTGTCTTTGCCAAAGCGATTTGCTCGTCGGGTCCATCAGTGAGATAGGAAATAGCCCAGCAGGCGTCCTGTCGCACTTGCTTATCCTGAAAAGCAGATCATCATCAGCCTCTATTTGCTTTTTAGGACTCGTTTTATCAGATCAGTCCTTACTTCATGAGCCACAATTTTCGCTAATCCTTTGCTCAGCACTGATAGAACTGTCAATGGTGCATGGGGATTTTTGTGTCGACACATATTCGAAAACGCCCACGCGAGAGTGCGAGCACAGCTGACTTCCAAGGAATCCAGGCGCTCCACAAGATTCATAAGGGCTTCCACACCTTCGCATTCTAAAAGAGCAAATCGCTAAACCATAATTCTGCAGGCAAGTAGAAACCGTATGTCGATTTATAGCTCTCGGGGTACTCAACAAACGCTTCCGTTCCGCCCACGGGGAAAAAACTCAGGAGAACTACAATTCAGCCCTCTTTAATACTTCTAGAGGTGCGTTCATACTTTGCGGCAGCGTCCACTGGCGACCCCCGGCGTTACGAGCGTCCGTCAACGTCAGAGAGAAAGCATAGATGTCAACTAGCGTACGCCAGCGTCGACCAGCGGCCTGCAGATATGTAGAGGAGAGCAATGGAGGATTAGGAAGGGAGCAAACAGCTGGATAGGCACGCTGAAATCGCGGATTGAGGCAATCGCCAACCGTACAAACTGCAACCGACATACCTATGCAATTTTACACGCATTGGGAAAGCAGTATGGTGGCGATTGCACTACCAGCAATCAAAGACGATCTACTGTCTCTCCCCCCGCCCCACTTCCCCAACCTACTAGCAGGCGTTCACGCTCCCGTTTCCCCGCACTCTCACTCCTGGCAGACACTGGTGAACGCCGGCGTAGGCTAGATCGATATTTGTACTTTCCCAGTCCCTGGCGTAGACGGATGCTTGAAACGCTAGTGGTCGCAGTCTAGGACATGCAGCAGAGCTGGAAATGGTTTCAAAAAAAGTATAACTCGATAATTTTACTTGCATCTGCCTTTCCCGAAGAGATGGCTTCAAATGTAATGGCATCCCAAGTTAAGGTTTATCGTCAAAATGCGAAACCACTAGATGGCAAACTCGCCTATAACATAATCCCTAAGTTGAGCCGAATCTCCAGCGATATTTGCAACAGCCCATAAAGCCTGTTCAGCTAGAGCAGGATTGGTGCTCTGCGTGAGTTTGACTAGAGGAAGTGTGGCACCGGCTTCAACAGCGGCTACGGTTTGTTCCGACGTACCAGAGACGATGTTTGTCAACGCCCAGGCGGCTTCAAATCGAACCTTATCGTCCTGAAAGCAAAAAAATAGGTCACGAATATTCAGCAAGGATACGAATCGACTTTACCTCGACAGCAAGTGCCTGCACCAAAGCATTCACAAGACCGCAGTTGATCACTTCATCAAACGGGTGGATCTTGAGCGTGACAGCGTACGACGGAGTGCTTCAAAGCAAGTTCTCATCTGTTCCAGGGTTGGATTGTCGCAAAGAATTTTGATGATTTCCTCATTGGTAAGTCGACTAGATACTGCTGGAAATACATTGGTAATCAGCCTCAGACTGTCAATAGGAAGACCGCGTTTATACATTGCGCTACGGAAGAATAGGATAATCGGCGACTCCGGAGAGCTCGTCCTATTCATGTGGCACGCTCTCTCGCAAAAGTCGATCCGCCGACCCTCCTGGAGACTGCAGCGAGTCGCAAAGCATAAACGGTCTAACCAGTCGCGGTCATCTAACCAGGCATTGTTTTCACATCCAAATCTGAGAGTTCCCCTTCGTCTTCATCCTCCACCAACTGATTTCGACGTTTCATCAGTAGCTCAGTGCCTTTCTGTTTGCGAATTTCAACACTGGTTTCGTTCCTGCGGCGACGCATATCCTGAAAGCAGTCACAATCGATATCAGTCCGCAGTCACGCAGACTGTCAAGGTACTAGCGCCACTACGCACACCTTATGCTATTAAATTCATGATTTGTACGGTGCTAAAGGGGACTAGCCGCCTTAGTTCTCCGTGCTCTCCACACCGTATGAGAGTGTGTTCATACTTTGCGACTCAAGCGATTCAATCATGTCGAGCACCAGTGACCGATGGCGCTCCACCGCTAATTGTTGGACCGTTGCAACGAGTAACTGACCACAACGAATCTTAGGATCTCGAATGCGACTAATATAGCCGTTGCAGCGGTTCAGTGATTAGCGGCGGGGCATCGTTCATCACAATCGCCCGACATGAGCAGTTTTGTCGCTGAAGTCGCGCAGTTGATCGCATTCTTAGCACCCAAAGTACATCTTATCTCCATTTATCAGTAGCAACTACCCTTTACTGAGAAGTGCTGTCATCTTAAAGAGCACAGTGAAAACTGAGATAACCTACACTCACACCGAATTTCAGTCCTAGTTTTTCACCTAGCGAATCCGCCAGCCCCATGAGACGATACTGAGGAGAAAAGCTATCTGGGAGAAACAACTTGCCTCGTGTCTTGCGACATTCTTATATTGTTTAAGGCGAGCTTCCTCAGACATCTCCACTTTTGGAACATTTTCACTCTGATTTGCACGAAGCGCCATAGCTCTGAAAGTAATAATGAGCAATAATGGTTATGGATCATTGTTGAAACGCGTTCATAGTTTGCATCCGCGTGTAGAGCGTGCCACTGCGTTTCGAGCAGACGTCAGTGTCAGCGACCAGGAAAGTAACGCTCCAACGTAGGCTCGGAACTGTAGATCGAGACCTATACTTTCTTGGCCGCTCAAAATCCTGCCGCAAAGTGTGAACGCATTCCAGTTGATGTGACCAAAGTGCTGTGTCAAGTCAGCTAGCAAGAAATACCAGTGGGTAATTACAT